CCATACTGCCAAACTTCATCTGGGGAGGGCGCTTGACCCAACGAGGATTAGCGTCTTCACACCACTGATCGTATTTCTTTTGTGTCCAGACCCCAGACTCCATACATGCTACTTTCACCCCTACCACACACTCTCCACGCAACGGAGAAACGTGATCTGGGGAACAGGAGGGTGGGGATCGCAAGTACAGAAACTATCACCGGTTCTTCGTATTCAATGATGTCTATAAGATCGAACGATTTCCCCCTACCGTGGCCTGAATCTTTGCTCTGTTGCAGAATGCAATCGTTGTATCCACACTGATTGAAGTACATCACTTGGCCCCCCTATCCCGTGCACCTGAAGCTCAGCAACATCCTGAACAGCACCCTTTGTTACTGACATCATGGTCGCTGGCGGTGGGGTTGTTTCTGCGTCCGGCATGGATGTGTACCGGACGCTGCCAAACAATACAAACGCCAACTGGCTCAAGGACAAGGGCCTCCGGCGCCTGAATTTCGGCCTCATACTTATGTTTGCCTCCGCTGCAGCAAATGGGTATGACGCTGCTTTGATGAATGGGCTCCTGACCCTCCCTATGTGTGAGTTCTCGTGATCACATTGCCATCCACCGCTAGCGTATACAGCGCTGATCTGAATGACCCATAGTCGCGAAGAATGTCGGCGAGAATATAAGCTCGAACATAGAGGGTCTGATCATTTCCGGGATTTCCCTAGGAGGCACGATCACCTTTATACCGGCGTCATACTTCGCGGATTACTTCGGCCGCAAAATGTCCGTCGCACTGGGATCGGCCATCATGATTGTCGCGAGCGTGATCCAGGCGGCCACCATCGGTCGCTGGGCTTTCTTTGGAACGAGAATCGCGATGGGGGTTGGCCTGGGCTTTGCACAGACGGCTGCTCCGCCGCTAACTACTGAGATAGCTCACCCACGGCATCGGGGCGTGGTCACGGCCATCTTTCAAGCTACTTGGTACTGGGGCGCGATTCTGGCTGCTGCGGTGTGCCTGGGGACTCTTTATATTGAGGGTAGCACGTGGTCCTGGCGAATTCCATGCCTTGTCCAGTGTTTCTTCCCGGCGGTGCAGTTGCTCGGACTGCTCATCGTCCCCGAAAGCCCGCGGTGGCTCGTGTCGAAGGACCGGCGCGACGAGGCCTTGCAAATCCTCGCCCGCTACCATGGGAATGGGGACACGTCCGATCCCTTGGTTCAGTTCGAGTACTCTGAAATTTGTGGCGCAATCGACCTAGAGAACTCAGCCGCCCATAAAAGTGGCTGGTCGGCATTCATTGCGACCAAGGGAGCTCGGCATCGCCTAGCCATTTGTCTCCTGGTCGGGGTGATGATCCAGTGGGCAGGTAATGGTACGTACAGCGCTCTCCACCTGGGTTGTGTCCGTCTTGCTGATTCGCCTCGTGCCCAGGTGTCATCTCTTACTATCTCGCACCAATTTTGCGATCCGTTGGCATCACCAACCCCACACAGCAATCTGCCATTAACCTGGGCCTTCAGGCGTGGAACGCAGTCTGTGCCGCCGGAGGTGCCGTCGCCGCCGAGAAATACGGCCGACGCCCGCTCTGGATGCTCTCGACGGTGCTGATGCTGCTCTTCTTTTCCCTGGCGACTGCCCTGTCCGCCGTGTTCGATAAATCGGCCATCCAGGCGGCTGGCAGTGCAGTCGTCGCATTCCTCTATCTGTTCTACGGCGCCTATGATATCGCCTATACCCCACTCTCCATTGCCTACCCGGTCGAGATCATGCCGTTCTACCTGCGCACCAAGGGCTTGTCGCTAAGTCTAACGGCGCAGTTTGCCGCGGGCTTCTTCAATCAGTTCGTGAACCCCATTGCTCTCGGTGCGATCCAGTGGAAGTTCTATTTTGTGTACCTTGGTCTGCTGGTCAGTTTCGTGGGCATTGTTTACTTTGTGTTTCCTGAGACCAAGGGCCACACGCTCGAAGAGATTGCCGTCATCTTTGACGGTCCGGGGGCAGAGACGGAGATCCAGCGGGATCTGGCTGCTGTCATTGCGTTGGAGCGAGAGGTAAAAGCTCCTCTGAGGGAGGAGTTGGAGCACGCTCCATAAAAAATGTGATGCGTGAGCGCCTGTGATTTAGGATTATCTCTCCTGGGCGTTATCCCCCTGCAGGAATTGATGTATGTTGCGTCTCAGTAGAACAATCACCCGCTTGAGCGGCTTCGCATGCATCAATCATTTTTAGTTAAGGAAGGTATTCAGTATATATATAATATAGTGTCGATTGAAATCGTCCCCGAATAGTGCAGCTACGAACAGAACCGATCGGAAAATATGTACCAGTGGGGCCTACGAGGGATCGGCTGGACACCGGAAAATATCTCCGAAGTTCGCTGAATCGTTTGTCCACTGGGGGTCCCCGTGGCGAGCTGAGAAGTGGGCCTCATACATTTCACCTTTTACAAATCAATCATTCTCTTAAGACTCGGCTGAATGGACTAGGGTTTGGAAACAATTTGGGTCCACTACGGCTGAGTTGATGAGAGGAGGAGTGGGTTTCTTTTGCCGTCCTTCTAATATTCCCCCCCCCCCCAACCACCTCTGTTATATGAGTCTATCGTCTCTCTGACTCTCACACGGGCAGACACCGATGGAGGCCTTACTATCTTGTGAAGATACACGATGCTACTTCGAGTCGCAATGTCTGGTCAACTTGTAAAGGGGATCACAAATATCATTCAAAGAGTCAACCCCGATATAAGAGAAGATTCAAAACACCCAAACAGGTTGGCTCAAAACAATCATTTCCACCTTCCCTCACCGCGGGCCGAACCACGTAGTTCAGTTTACTGAAAGGTAGTTGGGGAAGAGATCGTGCTGGAATAGGGGCAGAGATCCGGTATCTGACGGGTGCAGTAGGAAAAGTGCTCCATTTTTGCCAGCGCCTCGTCTATCAGGGCCCACAGAACCGATTGGCACAGTGGACAGATCATGATTTTCAAGAGGTTAAGAATGCTATGATACAAGTCAACATGGCCTCCATATGTTGATTTCGATTCCCCAGTCTACTGACGTTTGCATGGGTGGTAGTTGTTGACAGTGTTGGAGACACACGTCACTGCGCTTTTGCAGGAATCACCCCCGAAGGATAAGTGGCATGGCAATGGGCACTTCATTAAAGACAATCTCAATGATTTTGGTAATGTGACCTTGGTAAGTTATCAAATTACCCCCAAACTGTCAGTGCGATAGAGCCCATCGAATATCATCCAAGACATACACGAATGGTTTCCATGGCAGTAATTTAAGTATATCTCCGGGGAAGCCAAGAAAGACGAGGGCGATGAGGAAGACGAGGAAGACCGCAAGTCAGCCGAAGACAAAATAGATCGTGGCTCGGAGGAAGACGAGGAAGCTCCAAGACACTCGGGGTGAAGGTGAGTGAGTCTCGATAGGCCCATGAAGTGCTCGTCGCTCAATTTGGCAGTGGTTCTCTGTGTACAAGCGTGGAATCCTCCCTCTCCCGGGGAGAAACTCATGGATTTTCTTAAGCACGTGCTGAGCCCTCGCATGCTTGCCATGGTGGCCACTAATGGCATGACTGAGACGGTAGCCGGCCTCTTTGGAAGAAGCGTTGAGGACGCAGTGCGGTTGATCGGCCGTGGAGAGGACGATAGCAAAGCGTCATAGGGGATGAGCTGGTGATATTTAACAATGACTTTGACATGGATTCTGCGGGCTGGTCAATTCGGATTACATCGTGTTTTCTCTCGCGCGTCCTTGTATCCCTGGCTAGTGATTCAGTCACCGGATAAACAAATTTATATATTCTGTGATTCCACAGCGGCGGCGGTTCAGGGAAAATCATATTGTATGTAAATACCGCAAAAGAATATTTAAAAAATATGAATAAAAAAGAAAACATACAACAGGAGGGATTCGCTGGTGGTCACCCACCCAACTACTAACCTCCCGGCGTGTGGCTTAAGTACGGCTGAGCGGACGGGAAGCCCTGTTCTCCACACCCTATGGTCGTATGTACTGGCTTACCCTAAGTAGTAGATTATATAGAGCAATCATGCAGATTAAGATTGCGCGACACAGCAACACGGCTGCCCGAATTCAGTGGATGAAGTGCACCTCGTACTACAAATAGTGTCGGTAGATCTAGTAGCGTAGTATAAATGACTATAATGAATCGCCTTGTTGGTTTAATAAAGGCAGGATATAACGGAATCACTTCCTAACACAGCTACCTACCACTATATATATTTGCATTGATGTCTTGCATTGTTACTCAGATATGGTGCGAACAGATCGTGTTGATCCCTGTGTACAGGCTGTGAGTGGAGTCGTGGATGATACCCTTTCCTATATTTGCTGCTTACCTGTGCTTATATATTAGATTATACGAAGTGCTTTGAAAGACGAAAGGTTTGCCTCTACTTTACCAGGGTCTATACAGCTAGCTGTGCGATCATGCTTCTTACAAACCTTTCGAATTGTTCCAAGTATCTTTCCTCCTGAGACCCGAATCTACAGCCCGAGAGTTAACCCTCTGCAATTCTTTCTCTGGCGGGTCTTTCGTTGGTCTTGCCTATCATTTGCTATCTTCCGGAATGACCCCTTGAATAGCTGTTTGATATTACTACATCCAATATGTAGACATAGCGGGATAAAGAGGCGTACCTGGGTATCCATATCTTTCTACCATTCATGCGTTTTTCTATTTTTATCTAGACCTTATGTCTATTACTGCCAAACTCCGTGCAAGGAGACAAAATCTAAGGCATCACGACCGTCATCTTTTTTTTTTTTTTTTTTTTCTCCTTCCCTCACAATTTCCTCTTGCGATGAACCTGTCGATTCCCAAACGCTGAAAGATCAGTCTTTTTTATTTTTCCACTCCTCGTCTTGTTTTGCTCTCTTCCGGGAAAGAAGTTGATACGATGACGTCACATGATTATCCCTTTGTCAGCGAGGGGCAATAAAATATTGAGAAGCCAAAGATGCAGGTTGATATCAAGACACATCCACCCTCTATCTCGCACCTGAAGACCGCCTGCGGACCAACAGATCTAACGAACTCTCCTCGCAATCATGGCAAAAACAGTCGTCGCAACAGGCACTTCATCGGGCTTGGTAACCTTCCACCTTTCTACCCCTCACTAGTCGTTCGTCTAACATACCCCAGGGCTTTGAAGCAATCAAACAGCTGCTTCAGCAGTCGGAGCCATACAATTTCATCTTGGGAGTACGGGACACAGCCAAAGCTCAGGACGAGTACGACCGCCTCGACTTTGACACGAAGCAGCACACGATTACCATTTTCCCGCTGGATCTCCTATCTCTGCCGAGTGTGCAGTCGTTTGCACAAAACGTCCTTTCTCAGTTGGGTGCGCAGAAGCTCGATTATCTGTTCCTCTGCGCTGGCATGCTCGATAGCGCCGATGGCCCTGGACCCAATGGATCGCCATGGTGTTCGGGGTATGTAGTTAATCATCTAGGTATGAAGGAGATGAACTCGAAGGGCATTGGACCGAAGTGGCTAACGATGAAACAAAATAGCTCAACATTATTTGATTCATTTGCTCCGTGACACTCTTTCTGTGTCACAATCGCGAGTTGTCGTTGTTTCCTCGGGCGCCATTCGCAATGTGAGAGGCCAGGATCCAGGTAAGCTCACGTTCTCTGCTTATTACTCAGTACCATCTGCCTTTTACATATTGACTCGAGTTATATTAGCAACACTCGATGTAGACCTTAAGGCAAATTCCAAGGCAGGAGTTAGGGCCGTGTACAGTGCCTCAAAGTTCGTTCAATTACTCGGCGCATTTTACTGGCGCCGCGAACTTCCCTCGTGCACGATCATTGCCGTCTCACCGGGCCTTATCCCAAGCACCAAATTGGCCACTGATATGGGCTTGTCCATGGATATGCCGGATGCGAAAAGCATTCCCGAGGGTAAGTTCACTGGCATAATAATGATTAGGAGAAAATTGACTTAACATGGACTGTTCAACAGGAGCTCAAAACCTCCTTCGGGCATTTACTGCGACCGATATCCCGTCGGATCCAGAGCAGCTCTTTTTGACGAGCTGGGGGGAGTGGTGGCCGAAGGATGTGTATTCTTTGGCTCTTGACCAGAAGTTGCAGAGAAAATGGTGTTTGACTAAAGAAGAGATTGAACAGGCTGAGGGATTGGCGTGAGTGGAATCTGAGGCGCATTATGATTCCTTGAATGCGATGGGAGTATTATAGACGAAAGCTGGCAATAGTTATGGATTCCACTTGTATAGATGGAAACAACAACTTACCCGCGTTTCTTCGTACCTCGGCAGGCTATACCTGTTTCGCAAGAAATACCGGCTAATTAAGGGCCAAAGGCTTTAACCCCGCGCCCTTGAATTTACTCTGACTCACTCATAAACAAGCGTGAGGGTGGATTCTTCAGTTCCAGAACTCTCACCATAACACCCGAGGTACTACTGAAGAATCCGGACCTCGTTTGTATTACCTTCTGAATATTGACTGCGTCTAATTCACAGACTCATCTAGTATGAACGACATGGCTTCTCTACGTGCCAAGCTTTTGAATGGTCTCATTCACAGCCATCCACGCGCTCCTCTTGCACCTCGTGCCACAGCATCGTTTTCAACGCGGAACATTCTACACAACAAGGACAACACCTCAAAGACTAATCAACCAAACGATAAGAGCAACGCAGGTTACTGGAAGTATGATCTGAGCTTCAAGACTCAGATGAGCAAAGCAGTGCTGTTTGCTGTTCTTGCCGGCGCTGGCGCTGTGGAAAGCTGGACTTGGTACTGGGAGATCCGGGAATGGTGGACGGGCGTGCGAGACGACGGGGGGGAAATATAGGTTATATAGACTGGTGTCGGTGAGGCTATCACTTTCCCATGGAGGCTGTGAATGATAGATTAATGCAACAAAGCCTCGTCTACAATTCTTCCGGGAGACCAGTGCTTCTGATTTGTTTTCATCTTTTCCCCGGCCCCAAGAGAGAGCCGGATGCCAACCCGGTCACACATCACCTGAAGGGTCGTCCATTGCCTCCTGAAGGCCTCCCTGATGCGAATACTGGTTCCGTGTGGTTCCTCCCGCTCAGGAGAGACGAGCAGGTACTGTAGGTTTGGAAACTGTTCCTCACGCCGAGTAAGAAGATCCTCGAGGTGGGTGACCAATACAGCACAGTTGTTAACATTACAGTCCGCTAGATGTAAAACTCTCAAGGTCTTAGGCAGAATATCTCCAAGCCAGACCATATCCTCTGTCTCCTGAGGGTGGAGATTGAGAAGGTTGCTGGCGCGAATCCGTAGATCCCACAGCTTGGAAAAATCCGCCAACGACCCAAACCACCGATCATGTGAGATTGGGTCGACATTCCCCTTATAGAGATGAGTTGGTCGAGGGGTGGACGCATCTCCTAGATCATTCAGGTGGAGCACCTCTAGGCTGTGTTTCTGTGTTTGGAGCGCCTCGTGGAAGCACCAAGGCCGAAAGCTAGTGTCAACACCCATGCAATCCTCCTCGTCCTGACGCGAAACCCAGATAATGTCGTTCGTATGCTGGTATACAAAGCGCTTAAGGTTGGCACATGAGGTAACAAAATCGGCCATCCCATATCTTCCGTTACAAAAGAAGTCCAAGACTAGCTCTTCAACCGGCGAGGTAGCTGGAACTGGAAAGAAGGCCGGATGGTCTGCTGCACTGTGGGTCGAATGAAGCTCCTGTACTGGGCCGAGTCGTAAGGTGCGCAGGGAAGGCAAGTGAAATAAGGGAAGGTATTCGCGGTGACTCAACACAGTAGAAAGGTAGCTCCAGGAAAGCTCGAGTTTTTCTAACCGCTGCAAGGCGAGGAAAGTGTTGCAATCAAAAGGAAATTGCTTCCACGCAGCCTTCGAAACGATTCGGGTGATCCAGCCTTCAGGGTGGCTATGCTGTGCTGAAATTGTAGCAAGATTGGGGAGAATAGCCATTGAAAGGGCAATCCACGCTTCACCCTGGTTACTTGATAGGTTTTTGCGCCATGCATCATACTCTACAGGCGACTCACTGATGAGATCTATAAGATCCTGAACTACCGGGCCTAATGGGGCCAGTGCACCTTTATTGGCAACATTGTTTATTGAGAGCTCGCGGATGGAGAACCTGATAATCGGATTGGCAAGGGCCGCCACAATCAGACACCGAAGCTCAGGCCATTCGAGGTGAGTCGAGCAGAAAGCGATTCCCAGCAATGAGGCACGCCAACGCCGACATATCTGGACTAGGTTCAGTCGGTCTCGTGCGTTGGGAATTTCATGGAGGATGGCCAGGATGATCTCTGCTGGCAGGCGATCCATCTTCGCAAGGTATTCTGGCAATATGTCAGCAAATGTCAGACAGATTACCAAGACGTTTACCTATAATGGCGCTAAATTTACCGCTAGGCTATATTTGTTAATTGATGTGCATTAGTAGGTACCTAGTAAGCTACGAAGTCCACAGTTGATGAAGGGGTGACCGTGCTTTAATGATACGAGAGAAAATATACCGAATCAGCCCATGATATTCGCAATGCACGACATTGTCGAATATGTATTCTTTGCGGGCTAATACCATCAATGACCTTGCGATGTAGGTCCAACGCCACGAGAGGCCGTGTGGCACACCTCATGGACGTTTGACAAGTGTATTCACTAGCGGTACGCCTTTGCATAGTCTCCTAGATACCATTGACATACGTGTAGGATTCCTTTGTGAAGAAACCAGAACCATACATAAGATACTGTGAAGTTGGTAATCTATGCTCATCACTCCTTCTAATCATACCTTCAGTCAAACTTGTGGGACTGGCAACAAGACGCCTTGGAGTGTCACAACGAAGCAATATACAACATACAATGTTTCTGTCAGGAGCTTGAGTGTTCTCCTCATTTCTTCATAAAACGGGGATAATGAGATCGTCGACTGATAAGGGACATCTCAACCCATGTCTCACCTACATACGCTACTTGATTCCCTAATCATAAATGTACGCTCTCATATTGAGGTAGGATACAATACAGTCTAAGGCTCTGCAGTTTCTGCTTCGTGAAGAGATAATGCTGCTTGGACTTTGGTACTTTGCCATCATGATAGTCGTTGAGAATCACGAGTACGACAGCGTTCTCACCAGTCGATCCTCCCTCGCTTCTACGTCGAAGAGCGTCCGTCAGTTTGTCCTTGGCTTCATCGTCGTAGTTCAGCACCATGAGTGCAATAGCATTCTCGGAAGCTACATCCCTAGGTTACGTAGACCGTCTCATGCTTCCTCGTACTTGGCGACTCCAAGAAACATTATGTTTTTCAGAATGTTGGCCGCCACAAGATGTCCCAAGCCACTCGCAACAGCTCTACGTGAATGGAGCCCTGATGAGCCAGATACCAAGGTGATATTCAGCATTACCCGAAAAACATTAGTCCATAGGTTGGTCAATAGGCCAACTGGGCGGTCTAGTCAGTATAAGTTTCCAGATTTTTTCCATCCTCACAGTCACCGTAGTAAGTCCCCACAAATACGATTTATTCTGCAGTCTCGCAACTAAACAGATCGTAGCTGTATATAAAGGTTATATATTTCTATTATTTCCTCTCGTAATATATTACCTAAAGATTATACAAGCAATTTGGGACGGAAAAATACTTTGACCGACCAAGGACAACTGAAACTCCCGTCTCGCAAGTGTGGACCAGTTGATAAAAATCATTGCAACTGGATAAATGACAACAATTCGAAATGACGGTACCCTTCGGACGCTGGAAGAGCCCACTCACCCCAGAATTACTGTCAAGCAGTAGCATATCCCTTCATGAAGTGGTCGTCAATGTGAGTCCCAGTCCCAGCTCGCCAAGCTCGCCATTGGACTAACGAGAATTATTTAGGAGTCTACCGGGGCTATCTACAGCGTGGAATGCCATCCGACAGAGGATGGCCGCCATGCGATCATCCAGCATTGGCACGGCGAAAGCCGAGATGTGTTACCGAAAGATTTCAGTGCACACGCCACGGTGCAAGAGCTCGGTGGCGGTTCCCTTGCCATAAGACTAGACGGGCTGATCACGTTCTCCGACGAAGCCTCTAGCAGTATTTACCTGCTGGATCCATCCTCTACTAAAGTCACTCTGGTTCGCGAAGGGGTCAAGGGTGTCCGCTATGCGGATTTTTGCCATCATCCGATCGATGGACAGTGGATGCTTGCCATCAAGGAGGATCATCGCGAAGCCACTCCGGAGACCCAAGCATTCATGGTTCACAACTCCCTGGTGGCCATAAACATTAATACCGGTGAGGAAACCACGATCGCCCAAGGTGATGATTTTTTCTCCCATCCCAAGTTCGACCCCTCGGGGAAGCATGTCTCTTGGATTCAGTGGTCCCATCCGGACATGCCATGGACCGGAACTGTTCTCTATGTTGCCACTTGGGAAGATGGCTGTCTTAAAAACTCGCGACGTGTCGCAGGGAAAGCACAGGAGGAGAGTATTGCGCAGCCAAAATGGGGCCTGGACGGTTCGCTGTACTTTGCGAGCGATACGACAGGGTTCTGGCAGCTATATGTATGCAACATGGATGACGGTGCACCTCGCCCGTTGGCACTCAAAGGTCTCGAGGAGGCGGACTTTGCCACAGCTGAATGGGAACTTGGAAGGTATGTACCATGAGTACTTCCATCCCTCATACGTAATCAAACTAACACCCCGACTAGCTCTACATATACATCCCTTGACGCGACGACTATCGTCGCAACCGTCATTACTCACGCCACGAGTCAAGTGTTCCTGATTGACACTACGACTTCCTGCGCTCGGCAGCTAGATCTTCCCTACCTGGATTTGGGATCTCGTGCTAATGGGATTTACCGAGTTTCACCAACCAGCTTCGCCATCGTTGGTTCGACGGCAACGTCCCCGCAGGAACTGGCTCTGGTATCCATCATGCCCACCGACGAGGTGCAAAGAACCGTATTGGCTTCCACTGCATCGTTCAAGTTGGATCCTGAATACGTCTCTCACGCGACAGAATTTCGTGCACCCCAAAAATACGGACCGCGGTGTGACGGCGACGTTTATATGTTCTACTTTCCTCCACAAAACCCGAACTACCAGTCGGCCGATCAGGGTGTTCCTCCTGTATTAGTCTACGTTCATGGTGGACCAAATGGCTGCGTCACCCCGGCGCTCAATCTCGAAATTCAATACTGGACCACGCGCGGCTTTGCCGTCTGCGCTCTCAACTACACGGGCTCCACTGGGTACGGTCGCGAATATCGCGAGCGTCTCTCGGGGTACTGGGGTCTCGTTGATGTCGGAGATGCCGCGAGTGCAGTCGACTTCCTGGTGGAAAAGAGTTTGGTCGATAAAGCGCGCGTGGGCATCTACGGTGGTAGTGCAGGTGGGTATCTGACCCTGCGGGCTCTTCACATGTACCCGGATGTTTGGGCCGCGGGGATTAGTTCATATGGCATTAGTGATGTCCGGGCATTGCAGGCCGATTCATACAAGTTTGAGAGCCACGATGTGGACCGGATTTTACTAAGTAAAACGAAGCCCGAGGGCCGGGATACCGAACTCACCAAGCGCAGTCCGTGCCACTTTGCGGCGCAGATGAAGGCACCGCTGCTTTTGCTGCAGGGCACGTCCGATATGGTCGTCCCTGTCGCACAAGCCAGGATGATGGCCGATGCGATGCACAAGTGTGGGAGAGTAGCAGAGGTGGTTGAGTTCGAAGGCGAGGGCCATGGCTGGGTTGGCCACGAAACCATTTATGAGTCATTTAAGCGGAAGGAGGAGTGGTGGCAGCTTCATTTGACTTGATATAGACTTGATGTGATAAGAAGTCAATCGTCCCCATATGTAGTCTCATCTAATACGCGGTATCGTCTGCGGAGCCGCTGTTTTTCCCGGCGTTTATTCTCCAGCGCATCGTGACATTGAAGATTAGCCTCTCACCGTGGATAGGCTTCCAACTCCTTGTGGTGAGCTTGAGCTTGACTGAAGTATTTGCCAAAGAGATGCATCTCGTATTGAACAAAGTGGTCCTTATTCATAGTATGACTTTTCGAACAAAAGAAGATATGCCAACGCGACTAGTCATGCCTATGAGTCCTCATTCAAATATAATGCTCTCCAAAGGTCAAGGATTTCGCAGGCTGGTACTTTATTCCTTGACTTTGCTCGAAATTAGCCCTTGCATTACTCCTTGCATTGATTTGATATCCAACTAAAGCACTTACATTATCATCGTGCCGAGCTTTATATATTCTGTAGTTTTTCCACTTTTTACTATTAGCCCTGTTCGAATGGACTCCCTCTGGATTATGTAGGGTAAGAGTCAACATTATCAACTGTTCTAAGCCCCACGACAGGATGACAAGCCTTGGACTGCCTGTAAAAGGTTTGGGATCGGTGATTGTTGAAGAAGGATTGACATAGGTTTAATAGTTATTGCTGCCAAGGTCCTGCTCCCAGGCGTAATATAATTGTCGAACAGTTACCGTATCGTACCGGGTGGGGATGCGTTTAGCTAATAGGAAATCAGTATGAAGAGGTCATTCCTAGCCGAGGTCCCCGCTATATTGAAATTTGCAGGGGACCAGAGACCCTCTGGTATACAACATTGTCTGGTACTCTGTATGGATGAACATATCATAGAGTTGTGGTGACAAGAAATAGCTATGTGGGATTGTCTAGAATTAAATCTAGAAGACAGTTAGAATTAGAAATTTTAGCGTATTGCATTAAGCCAGGTCGTCGAGTATATACGATCTTAAGGCACCCTACCTCGTATATTTATGGTGGGGGTCATGTGGGGTTTTGTATATCAAGTCAGCTTACGCACCAAACGCCATTTTCTCTGCCCTTTCCTGCACCCCCAGTGTCAGACTAGAAGCTCTGGTGATCCTGGTACGATATTCCTCTATACTATACATCCAGCCTTGGTTATTGAAAGTCACCGTAAGCCATGCCCGCCAACCCACCATCCACAGCCGAGCCCAGGATGGCTGTTGACGCTACCAGTGGCAGTGATCAACAACTTCCTACAGAAAACCTGCAAGACTTCCAAGGAGAGGTCCAGGCCAATGACCAGCCTCCATCAGCAGAAATACTGCGCAAGATCCAAGACTACTCTGTACTGGATCGACATGGCAAGTCTCATCCGTTCAAGAGCCTTTATTCTGGGCCCGGTGTAGCCCAACGGGTGCTGGTGATCTTCGTCCGACACTTTTTCTGCGGCGTATGTTCAAACATTCTGTATTCTTCCAGCTACCCTCCAAATGAAGGAGATTCAATGGAAGAAGACCTCACTTACAGATATTCACAGAGCTGCCAAGAGTTCCTCCGGACGTTGTCCGCATCCATCACCCCTGGAACCCTGGAACCCCTGGCAAAAAGGACATCAGTGGTCATCATTGGCTGCGGAGATCCGGCCCTGATCGAGATGTATGGGAAAGAAACCAACTGCCAATTCCCAATCTACGCGGACCCCACTAGGCAGCTGTATCAGGACCTCGACATGATGTGCTCCTCCGCCCTTGGCAGTCAGCCAGGCTATATTCGCAAGGGCATGGCTCGCATTGTTGGTGAATCAATGTTTCAGGCCATGAAGCATATACCATCAGGTTTAGCACACAAGGGCGGATGGTACAAGCAGAATGGGGGAGAATTCCTGTTCGAACCGCTTGATATTAACGCAGAGATAACTGGTGAGCAAGAAAAGCAAGTAACGTGGTGCTATCGGATGGAAACGACTCGAGATCATACTGAAATCCCTGACCTTATGCGGGTTTTGGGTATTGATCAGAAGAATGTTCCAAATTAAAGTTGTATATTGTTAATATGGTCTCAGGCAAAGGCGTGGACTTGGTTCGGTTTGTTAACGTTCAAATGTCAGTGATAAGGAACGAAAACTTTGACTCTTACTGGCCGCTATATGTGGTCTCTTCAAGCAGGCTCCTGATGATGATGATGAACATAAAAGCGTTCAATGAACGTTGTCGCAAGCAAGATGCGATCATAGTCAATATAATGAGTTACTCCTTATTTGACTGAGGACCTCCGTAAGAAGCACACCCATGGAAAACACGAAGCAGTAGCACAAGTCGCATTCAGACATCAGGCAGTACATCCTCCATTAATTCACCTAAATACTCCGCGGGTCGCATGCTGGTTGAGAAATTCTCTGATCGATGCTGAAATTGCGACAACAACCTTCCAGTTACAGCTATACCACCCATCCAACATGTCCGCACCTACACCACGATGCACCGTCAACAGACTTTCCGAGTTCACCATCTGCTTAATATTTGTAGTTCTCAATACCCTAGAACGACCCCACGGGATCTTGATTGATTCTAGAGACGTGTAGGAGCGCGGCCGGGAGATCGCCTTTATGGTGTAAAATCAGCCAGATGATAACCGGCAAGTTCTGTGTCAAAACATGGCACCTGAAGTGAGTGTTTGTCAGAATGATTGACATCCGAGCGGCCAATAGTGAAAGAGCTGAATAGGATAGTCGTCATGATCGAGACAGATTTGCGTTTCTCTTTCCAAGAGGAATTTCTGTTCAATGAGATCTCTGTGTCCATAACCACCTCTTGAAGGCAACTGACCACTCAAAAAGGATTCGAAATACTTGAAAAATCGTGTCGATTTATTACGATAGGTAGATTATAGTTGAGGATCAACGGGCAACAGCCAGTTGAAGCGGTGATGAGAAAAATACTTCATATCTGCCTACCGGGGTTCGCTCCCTACTAAAATGCCTTCCACTTATTTCCACAACGCTTGTAAGTCAGGAGTACTTCCTGTGTCTCTTAAGCTAAAGTAACTGCTTAAGCACCAGCCATGCCTTAAAGCCAACACACTCCTCCGCCGTTTCTCCAGCACTGACCCAAGTACGCCAATCCGAAAACAATGCGGGCCAAATGATCCCTACAATCACCTCCCAATCCTGCAAACCAAGGGAACAGATCCCATTCCGCACGAAGCAGCCGGCATGTGTGGCAATGGCATCTTTCTCCAGCTGGACACAATCCGTCTGCTCATTAGCTGGTACAGACAAGAGAGGCACAAACTGTTCCTGGAGACAGAGCATGGCATTCGTGCTCCATGATTGGCCAGAGGGGGAGAGAAAGGACCGATATTTGAGGGTCTTGGTGCAGTACTTTTTGCCGAAGGCAAGAGGGTAGCCGGTCGGTCCGCAGTGGTAGACCCGTTCGAGGCAGGTTGAGTAGAATGTACAGGTGTTAGGGGCTGGATGGGCGCAAGATGCGCTTGAGCCGGGGCTGCTGGGATGGTTTTCAGCGTTCGTTCGTGAGGATTTAAAGCTAGACTTCGGGTGAAGGACAGATCTTTGTGCTGTACTAGATATTGGGATCAATGCAATGATGAGTGAGAAAAAGATATTTTGGAGCTTCATGGTTATACGGTGGTTTGGGTTCATGGAAGATGGTTCGACCCATGAGCTGTTCGGAGAGGGACGTTAATCTCCATGAAAGATCAGCATCCTGGACGCATGATTTCATTTAACGTCGCCTCGTGTAATTAACTACGTGTGGAGCTTGGACTTTGCTGTCATTGACATGGCGGGATCTTCATTGGTTCAAGCCAGGTCGAAGTCGAACACACCACTTATCAGAGATGGTGTAGTTTTTGTGGATACGGAAACGTGTTTCCACTCAAAGCGGTTGCCTGTCTGTGTCGAGAAAAAGCAGCCAATAAGATGGCTCTCCTACACGCGTATTGCAAGAGTGTTCGGCATCGCGCGTCGCGCGCTGCGTCACCTGATATTATCTATCATTTTTGGGTCAATGTTTCGCAATTCGACGTCTGTGCCCACTTATCCAAGGACTGTTTGAAAAGATTATATTAGAGTTCCCTAGACGATTGATAGAGAAGGCCAGGCCCCCTCCTTCTTGAGACTGGCCCAAACGACCTCATGCAGCGACATTGTCCAGTTCCAAGAATCATCGGACACCAAGACTCTCGTTACCCAGGGAATGGACAAGTATGTGCAGAGCTTCCCAGATTGAGGGTCTGTTGCTGTGGTCCTGAAGGAGGGGGGATTGAGTCAGATATCTTGTGCTTCTTATGTACTCTCCGTTTCGCGGGTGAATGAGGCAACAGAACTGAATTCTTGTGTCAGCCGAATCACGTAAAGTTAGCTAGAGATTGATCGACTGAGTTCACACCTCCTGGTCCACTATTGCCAAGTGGGAATATCGTAGAATTCCATGAACCTGCTGGTGCTCTCGGGTACGTACATTAGCGTAAACAATGATACCCATAGCTATACACTAGCTTGGTAAGGGCACCTAGCTTCCTCATATGTCATGTATAATTAGTTATGTGGTGATCTGGCGGACCGAGGTCCGGAAGTGAACCCTGAACCGGATATTTGCAGCACCGTATATAAGTTGCATACCCGATAGCACTATGTCATTAAGTCTAACCCTGATATACTTGCCAAAATGACAACAAAGATAACTCAGGGGTTTGAGACTGCAAATATGAATTTCATTGACATTCTCAACATCGTTCTACCAGAGAACGCATCTTTAACTTTCTTCGCTGGTCTACCATGTAGTGGCCCATATTTGAACGATTCCAGAGGGTCGGGGAGGCCTAAACCTAGCGGGTTTTGGGTCGGGTGCGGGACAATTCATCAAAGTAGGAATTTCAGGCTTTATCATATAAGATTTCGGCCAAGGAAGTGCAGCCAAGGGTGTTGAGTCATGATCCGCCATAAATGGGGATAAGTCCATTTTTATTTTTTCTTTTATGGGGCCATGTAGTATGCTTCATGGCCAAAGCCGAGGGTCAGGTAATGCAATGTGGGGTCTTTCCCATGGCTCCTTAGCGGTTGTTGGTCTCGTGAGGACTTCAGTGGTGAATTGTAGCCACCCGTTATCATACAATTCTATTTTTACTGACGCACAAAATGTAGCTAGAATGAATGCATAATCTGTTAGCGTGGTTGGCAATGACAGTTTTATTCGTAATATAAAATAAGTTCCACTGATGTGCTTTCAATTCAAAAGAACCATTGCCATTAAAGAACCTCTCATACTGTTTGAAACTTGGTACTAAAGATGACTTTGTAGTTTTGGGCACAGTTATTGTCGCAGTACTGATTTCCAAGAACCTTATAACAAACACAGAGTTGTAGCGTTATGGAAGCGCTGTTTTGCCGGCCATCCAGAGTTATCAAATCTGAATTGATCATAGTCCTCGTCAACTCGATCGGACTTTCCCACATAGACGGCTGCAGTATAGTAAATAGGCCCCCAACTGTCAAATGAAAATCTTGCTGTAACAGCTTTCTCATATGCAATGTTTGCGACTTCAACAATTCCTTGAACTGTTTTGTTATCCCCCAGTAGAGCAATTTCTACTAAGTGAACTAGGCCTTGGAGCCTTTGCTGCATTCCGAGATCAGGACACACCATGGTCCATCGTATGTTACTCGAATTCATATTGGAGATATTATCCAATTGACCGAAGCAGATATCACTTTCTGGCTTTTCCTCGCCTTGAGATACTGAGCGTGCTCGATCATAGGGTTCAAAGGATTGGACCTCAACTAGTGGATTGGCAAAGTGGACGGACTTTCTGCTGTTCTGCAGCTATGTTAAAAAAACATGATATTTGTACACTTTTGCAGAACTATTCTTTATCCAGTCGGTTGTCATGTGCACCAGGCGAAGGCTCACGTTCTTTTGTGTTTTTCCAACATCAGGGTGTTTTGCAAACCCCAATGTCCTTTGAGGGCGTTCCAAGGAGATATAATTTTTCCATAGAGGTTCTGCTAAGTATGGTTTGCAAAGCTAGGTGAAACTAGAACACAATGCTATTATTTTTGTTTAGTAGGGTGAGAATTTCAAGTAATCGGTGCAGAAAATCTTTAAGGCAATACACGCGTCTTCTCGCTAAGAATATCCTAAGTTATTGTAGTCCATCAACGATATACGTAGGCAAGTACATTCTTGTATGATGACAGATCAGTCTTTAGCTACTAAGGTAATATAGTGGCATGACTGTAAATGTACCAGTCATATGAAAGCCGAGTCTCTGGTGGGGTAAATAAGGTTCACTAACCCATGGCCGAGCGACCAAGTTTCCCGGCTCCTAAATCAACTTTTACGATTCCCCTTCAAAATCCGGCAAAACTGTTGTATGAAGCTGCCCTTCGTATAGGTCCCAAAAGTCAACGCGAAGACATTACCCAAGTGACCATAAATTAGCTGTTCTTAAGATGCCTCTCATATTGATCAAAAACTTTCCTAGGTTAGCGCGCTTTCCCATTCAGCCTGCCCCCATGAGTTATCTGTAAAACAAGATGCTAACCTAATCGGTAAACGAGCGGCCACCCCTGCTCCGATATAAGAAATAAAAATAGTCAAAACACCATGAATTCAGACTCCTATATAAAAAATGAATAGTTCTATCAATTCGGGCAGTGTATAATTTTATGGCAGTCTATACCACAGCCAGAACATCTAAATAGGGCACGCCTAGGAGTCGATTCAGTAGGCAAAACCCTATCTGTCTGTATGCCTTCATTTGCCTGAATTCGGCGCTCTACAAGAATTCGGGCTTCAGATACTAATATGCCTTCTTCAAAAGTAATCTGTTTAGTAGAGTACTTTAGCCTTTTAATCCGCCTTTCGTTTTCAGCCTGATTTCGCTCAAGCTGATATTTCAATGTCGTTGTATTATGGAAGGCTTGTTCAATGCCTTTTATTATTTCATTTAGGCGAGCTTTAATAGGCCGATCGGGACTGCAATACCGATTGTTAAGCAGCTTTTTAAAGCTAGATTCTGACTTCTCCAGCTGTCTGACTGTATGAGGTGTTTTAGGCGCTGAGCTGCCCCGGCTGTTGGGTCTACTACCCGGAGGTATAGGGGTCTTAAGCTGGACTGTCAGCTGAGATAGAACACACTCAGGAGATAGAGAAACTAGGCCAGGAGCTCTAAAAGCACTATAAATATTGCTGCTGCTAAAGGCCTCTGTATGGGCCTCAGGATACGCGTTCAGGAAATCGAGTTTATCAATATGATTAAGCCCACAGCGCATCTTAGATTGAACTAGGTGTCACAGATCCGATGATGACTCTGCATGATGACTGTATCGTATACCTTGCCCGCTGTGCATAGACAACTCGGTGGCCGAACGGCGACGTCGGAGTCTATATCCGTTGCCTTTTCAATAGTGTACAATAGTCCCCTGTCAGTCTTATTTTGTTAGGGAAAGAAGGGGGTCCTTCTGGCTATAAAGTTAGCCTGATGTTCGGCCTACTGGATGAATTACCTGGTCAGTGTGATCAAGACTGAGGAATTGGAAAGTGAGAGACTATCGCTAGCAGCTATGCAAATTCTTTGAGATTGACTTTTAAGATTTATTTTCAGTATAGCACAGAACAACCTATCATTGACTTTTGTCCAAAGTCTGCGATGTCGACATGAGATAAAACTTTATATGGAAAATACGCCACTGAAAGGGCAAAACTGATTGCTGGTCAAATGCATTTGTGAACTTCTGATAGGCTGTTGTAATTACAGAAATAGGAAAATTTATCAAAATAGTCAGTTTAAAAACGGGACTAGCAGCCAAAGGCTTACGATGGTGAGTCTATACACGATCCAGACGTCCTGCGTGACAGGGTGAAGTCAAATATCATGAAATCATCAGATTGATCAGGAGGTCTACAGCTGATGTAGTTCATGATGCAAGCTTGACACCGCACCTAAATTCTAGCAAGCCTCCTGCTCGATCTTAATCACATGCTTATTCTATAGTGCTCTAGTCCGTTATGCTTTTTCACAGACTGGTAAAAATGATTTCCTCTCTATATGTACACATAAACCAGTATCACCAGATTTTACTTGGCGTATGATTCAATTGGGGATTCCACAGCGGATAATTCCAGTGCTAGGAAATTTCCCATGGAATGCAAACTCAGTAAACCACTATAGGTAGTAGTTCATGATGTAATATTGACATTATTCCTATCGATTGGTGGACTTCGCACCTAATTGAAAAGATTGGTCATTCCACGAAGTTCTAGGCATTACTACAGAGTGCGCAAGTTTCAGCACATATTAACCAATGCTACCTTGTTGTAGATTACTCGTGCTCTTGTCTAAGGCGATTCCTTTAGCATCAAGCCCAGGACAAAGATTATTTACTACCGAATTTCCAAGAGCATCGAATTACAGAGCCATATCCTTGACACCCTTCTTTCACAGAAGTCCTTCGAGCCTTGGCCGTATGCTCGAAGACTACGACAATTTCTTATCGAATAAGGGCCTCGGTAACCTTCGTTCTTGTACATTCACGCCAACCTTTGATGTGTGAGAAACCAAAGAAGGGTATGAGCTCGAGGGAGAGCTGCCTGGCGTCAAGCAAAAGGATATCGAGATTGAATATCTTGACCCAAATATTATGCAAATCAAGGGCCATACTGAACACTCTTCCGAAGAGAAGGACGGGTCCTGGTGGGTTTCTGAGCGTTCCATGGGTGACTTCCGACGGTCATTCTGTTTTCCATCACCTGTTGATCGCGATGCGACGCACGCTCACCTGAGAGATGGAATCCTCACCGTTACTGTTCCCAAAACTATGAAACATGAGGAAACCAAAAAGATTACAGTTGAAGAATGATGTTTGAATTTTTTTTAACTGTTTCCTTTGATTTCTTTCTGTTCGCAGTGTATTTGAAATCTGTCATTTTCTTTTTAACACATCAAAACCAAATTGTAATAATGTTGGGAGGGTTGCTTTCTTATCATAACAAATGAGGCTTAATTTCTTTTCTTTTAAAAAGGAAACTTAAACCTCTAATATTTTCTCTCAATCAACTGAAATCGCGTGGAGGTACCTTCGCCAGTAAATCTGTGTAAAGCTACAAAGAAATAATGAAAGTCTGATATCTCTACACAGGTCAGAATGGGCCGTACTTATAAAAAGGACTTTTAATTAAATTAAATAAGACAGCGACGATCAAGCCTGTATATAAGGGGCAGATTCTCGATGCGCGGTAGGGACACATTTCACCCACAACTAAGATACCACCAGCTAACTCCTCGGGAAAATATGAAAATTGGAAGATTTATCCTATAGTTGATTGATACTTGAAATATTGCAGAATATATATATATTGGTCATTTTCTTTTCTCTTTTTGATCAATACCCATGCGTAACGAACGAGCAGCTAATGCTCACTGTTTCCTACAAACTGGTTCAGTTCATCCTCAGCCTTCTTCCTGCCATATACCTAACCGAAAACAACCCCATAAAAGACCTAAAGCGGAATTGATTGAATCGAATACAATATACGTGTGAGTTGACTTTGGCAAACTTTTCCTTCCTCTTTTCGCCCCCCTTTACGCTAAATGAAGCATAGCAAAACTAGCTAGTATTCGTATGAAGAAACATGTCATGCCATTTCCGGAAGACATTATTCGGATCATATTTAATTTTCAGTTTCTGCAGCCGAGCAATGTTGTCACCGAAAATCTGCTTGGAATTGACTTCGTGCCCTGAATATGCAAGGGTAATTAGCCTCATATCTGTCGACTACTGTGGGATACGCACCAGCATAGTTTGCATAGACGCCAACCCCATCACCCAGTTCGGTACTTCTCGCGACACCCGCACGTTCCCCGATTTTATGCGCCATGTCCTGCTGTAAGGATCGCATCTTATAGTCCAGCTCGGCGTGATGCCAACAAAACATCAAACCGGCATTGTAGTACTTCCCCCGATTCGCGAATGCGGTTGCATCGTTAGATACTTTGATCACTTGGTTATAAGGCAATAACTCAAACACCACAATACTCTCGTTCACACGAGGATACATATTAATAATGTTGTCAAAGTCTGTATATAACTCCTTAAGAAATTGGAGGTCCAGTGGCAGAGTCACATTTGTCGCACCAAACCTCTTGCGTCCCCCAAACCTAGCAGCTCTGTTCATAAGGGTATTGATTTCGGGGTAAGGCATCATATTAGTCTCGCTAACAACCGCGTCTAGCGCCAGAATTGGTTGGAAGAAGCTCTCCGCCTCCTCTCTTGGGCCGTTGTAGAATGGGATGACAAAGATCATGAGGACTTCCATCGGAGATGGGACCGCGAATCCAAAAAAAAGGCCTTCGTTGCCAGTTGAAAGCTGCTCAAAACGATTGGCAAACTCCACAATTTTGGGCAGCTTGTCAACGGTAAAGTATAGCAGTCCTCCAAAAACCTTATTCCTTTGTGAGTGGGCCCTGAAGACAAGCTCTGTGGCAACGCCAAAATCCTGCCCTGCGCCTCGAATGGCCCAAAAAAGATCAGGATTTTCCGATCCAGATGCCATAACGATACTGCCATCGGCCAATACCATTTTTACGCTGAGTAGATTATCTATTATCAGGCTGTGGCGTCCAGTGAGCCAGCCATATCCACCTCCCAATGCTGTGCCGCCCACACTTGTCTGGTTTACAGTACATCCAACAACGGCTAGTTGAAAGCTGGCTGCGGCCGTGTCAACATCGCTCCATGTTGCACCTGCCTGGGCAGCCACTGTTTGAGAGGCTGGGTCAACAACAACGTTGGACATTTTAGACAGGCTGATCACAATTCCGCCATGAGTCGAGGAAGCTCCACTTGTGCTATAGCCGCCGCCCTGAACGACGAAAGGGATATGTCGTTTAGTAGCAAAGCCAACCACTTTCGACACCTCATTAGTAGAAGTGACTCGAACTACGGCGCCCTAACGTAGTATAAGCAAGTGGTGTATCAGCGACAAGACAGGTACGGCACTTACAGCCTCTCTCTCGCATGACTCACTGAACCGGGTGATGCTCTCCGCATAATTTTCATCATCCGGCGTAATCACTTCTGCATTTGTTTCATGTAGCTCCTTCTTAAGCAATAGCGCACGTGAGTAGCTTAAGAATGGCATTCTGAGGGATAGAGAATATAGACGACAGGTGGCATAAAGTAAGCAGGGTATGAGTGGGGTATTTCTAGTTTTAGCTGGCCTGAAACCATTTCTCCCAATGTCTGGGTTTTTATATCCACTTATATTACGGTTATTACGACTATCACCATTAATATTATTATTATTATTATTATTATTATTATTATGATGATGATGTTTACCAATGCCTCTACCCTATGTCATGAGATGAGAAGAGAAAATAAGTTATCTGAGTCAATGATGTAAAAGTTCGTACCGTGGAAAAGTCGCTGATAGATCATAACATTGGCTGGGGATCACCATACTTATTTGTTCTAGCCTCGTCCATTTTGATCACAAGATCCAGGGATTCTCACCCATTTTGCATTATGCTACTAGTTAGAATATATTACCCGAATAATTAAATCAAGCGGCCTGACCTCCATGTCAATCATACTTTTATTGTTGGTCCATCTAGCTTTGAATATCACATATTTATTGGCTAAGGTTTTCCTTCCCATAGGTCTTTAACTTATGTACTACCCAATAATTGCTCCCCCTTACTATACGAGACCTTATTTGGCTGCAAATTACATGACTCGTATAACTAACTATAAACCGTCTCTGTTGCCCATGTCTAGTCGATTTCTGCCATGCGTCCACCGCTTGAGGTGGACGCATGGCAGACCGAAGAAGCCAATTTGGCCGCGAGAACCCAGTTTAGATAGCATTCGATCACTTGCATTCTCAGTCCTGCATCAACACCTCCTCAATGACTACGACGAGGAGCAACACCTCTATGTGAAGTTTCATGCCGAGAAACTGACCAAGAGACTCTTCATTATCGGCCACCCCAACCTGGAGAAGAAATTTATTTTCCAGGTCCAACTACCAGTCGATCCATTCTTTGTGACAGAAAACGAGATCGCGACTGTTAGTTTTCTTCGTCAAAATATCGATATACCAGTTCCTTCGATACTTGCGTGGAACAGTTCATCCGATAATATTCTAGGATATGAATGGACCATGGTTGAGATGCTCGACGGAGTCTCGCTGGGAGAAATTTAGGCAGAAATGCCGTTAGACGCCAAGCTAGGCCTGGCTGAGAATTTGGCACGCATCTTTGCTCAATTGTGGAATCAGAAGTTTGACCGTATTGGATCTCTTTTCATTGGCCAACGGTTGCTGGACGCTACCGAGCAGTTTGAGATCTACTTTGAAGACCTGCCCTCGCCATCCTTCAAAGTTGGTCAAATGGTATCAATGCCGTTCTTTATCGGAAGACGCTGTTTCTTGCCGTCTTATCGTAGCCCATTCAAATCTTCGAGGAGCTGGATGAAAGCACAGATTGGCCTGGAGCTCGAATATGTTATCACTGGACAGGAAGTTCTCTAGCTTTCGCCGGAGCTGGGCCCAGAGGACATCAACCTTCAGCCAGCGTTTCTGGAAACAATCGATGACTTCCAAGATGTCTGTCAGGATTAACTCAGAGCTCTAGCTTCCATCTTTTCATCATCAGATGAAGAGTCTCTGTTCTATCTCTGTCATCATGGGTTAAACGAGGAAAACATTCTGTTGTACCCGACTTCCTACGAGATATTGGGCATTCTGGACTGGGATATGACTTCGATTCTTCCAGATTGGCTTGTTCAAGAGTATTCTCGAAGATTTCAAAACATCTTGCCCAAACTTGAAAAGGCAAACTTTACTTTGGACTCCAGTCAACCCTTCGATAGCGAGTTCAGGAGGTGGTATATGTTTCCAAAACGGCTACTAGATCCAGATCCAGAGCATGACCAGCAGCTTCAGGACAAGTTTGATGAGATATTACGCAAAGATGGAGTCAAAGTTCCTCTCAACAAACCTCAGGACGAAAAGAAAGATTTCTACACGGGGGTGCTGAATCTTGGAAATAACTGGGAAATAGCGAGAAAGTATCTGTCTAAGTCCCGGCATTTCAAGATGGAATGGCAACAATTAGGATGGTCAGGTGGACTTGATGACTCTTCATCTTCCAAACTTGAGTGAGCAAAAGGCACGTACATACTTGGCTCAGAACGTAAATCATATTTCTGCTAAGGGTTTTATTTGTAGTTTAGATTCCTTCCAATTGTACTTTTTGTAACAATCAACGATCATCATTACTGCTGGAGGTCGGTCAGGGTAACTACGTGCGTTTGCACCCTCTCGCCAAACAAATGGTTCAGTACTTGACAGGGTGAGATGAACCATTATCGTAGCAGCAAAATTCCTCATATGTACCGTAAGCACCATATGAGATCATTACCTTGGAAAGGTTCCGCAAAATACATACTTTTCGGACTCGAAAATACTTGAAAAGGTCAAGGAACCTGAGGAACGACCCAAGTTGGCCAAAAAGGGTGCGAACCGTGTCCATAAATATGTAAATATTTTATTTTTTCTGTTAGTGCAACGAAAAAACTACTTTTTTCCTCTCTCTCCTTTTTTTTTTTTTTTTT